AAGAGAATGTGGGCATCACTCACTCACATGGGATGGATTTTGGTGGTGGGATCCACTCACGACCTGGCATCATATAAATGAGAGGGAGGCCCACTTGCGGTGTCAGCAACCCCATGTGATGGTGTGTGCATTGGGGACCTCCCTTATTCACCCTCCAATAATGGCAAAAAAATAAACACTGACCCCACCCCCACCAATTTACAAATTGAAAGGGCAAAAATAATTGCTCCAACAACGACAAATTCTCCATTAAGAAACATAAGAAAATAAAATAAATTAATAAAAGAGAGGGAAGCCAATCAAAGAGACCAATTAGTCTAAAACTCACTTTTGCTTTCTGCTTTTTCTTTCTTTCTTTCTCTTTTCTGTCTGCTGCTAATCTAGGAGTTGATAAGTGTGTATAACACAATTAAACATGAGGAGTACAGACATCACTACAACACAAAATGAAGAGCTAGAAAATCTCCTTTCTTTTTCACCTTTCACCCAACTGAAAGACTATTAAATATTAAAATATATACTTTCCCTCTCCTCACTCCTGCTCAAGTTTCAATTACTTATCAGATTTGAATCTGCCTTGTAGTTGTGCATCTCTTCTTTCTTTTCCCACTTCCTCCTCTGCATGCTTTCTTCCCATGTGGTGATTCAGCTGTACAAAGACAAAAGGTTTCCTCTAACAACATGACAGAACTAACACTAATATATCCAACATGGGTGTTACTACTATACATTGACTCTGATTCTGTGCTACTTATAATTTTACCTGTGGTTCAACTTACTACAGAAATGAGAAGTGAAAATGGTACAATAATAATAACAAAAGAAAGGGCATAGGTGTCCCACTTTACTAAACTGCTTTTCAACTATGCATTTTGTATGGTAGTAAGTAGTATAGTATTGATGATTGATGGTGATGGCCTCAGTGGTGGTGATTCTCTACAAGACTTTTTATGTCCAGGATCATTAGGTCATGCTTCTCTTCCTGTAAAGTATTCAACAAAATACAGAAAAATCATGATCAAACGGGCAAAACTCAGTTTATAATTAACTAAAGCAACAAGTTGCTATGCAAGTTGAAGACATGAAGCATATATAGCTCATTAACTAAAATATCTCAAGTAACTTACCTGCACCTAAAGAAACTACTAAATCTTAAATACCAATTGGTCCACAGGTGCCAGCAAACATTCCAATGGTTCCCTGGCCAGAAGAGAACCTGAATTGAAAATGAAATTCTTATAATCATACAGGTTCAAAATATTTATGTATACTGCAATTCATGAGGATTGATTGGAAGAGTTGAATGTGATTCATAATAGTACCTAGGTGTTAGGCAGTTAAAGGATTTGAAAGAAGAGCCAATGTCAAGAGCAGATGCAGTTGGAAGCAATGTATTATTAGTACTAAATTTGGAGTTGGCAGATGCAGCTGAGGCATCTGAATCCATGGCCTCATTTGGCCCATTGGAGAAGGCAGCAATGTAGTTTCCAATAGCTTTTGTGGGGGAAGCAAAAGGGCTATCAGGGAGATTATGCTCCGAGCTGCATTCATTCATTCATAACCCATTTAGATACATAGCCTAGAAGAGACAATCAACATCATGTTTCAAAGCAAGGATTGGAAATAAGGGAATAAATGCAGAGAAGACTTTTGGCATGGACTAAAAGAGGATTTAGATGCAATAAAGGTGTTTTTGCCATTATGGTACCCTTTGGTTATGCTCAATGAGAAAAAAAGTTTTATACCATTCTTGTAAATCACGATCTTTATGGCTGGAACTCTGCTTGCCATCTCTATCACTATTTCCATTCTCCCCATTCACTGCCACTTCTTTGCCAACAGAAATGTTCACTGCTTGCTGCAATGGTTGCTGATCAACAGGAATTGATGCAGTGCTAGCGGGAGCAGAAGCTGAACCACTCTCTGGAACCAAACAACATAAGTAAATAATACATCAACCAATTCAATCCAATTGCAAGAAAGCATCAAGATCAAACCAACATAAACTGCATTTAAGTAGACATATATGTGTGCGTTTGAGTATTTATACCCTCTTGGCTCTCTGAGCTGCTTCTGTGAAAGGAAGAAAGGAGGATATTTTGATTGAACATGTTAGGAGAGTGAGGGGGGGAGGGAATTGGGCTTCCTGAGGAAAGTGCAAGATGGTGTTGCTTTTTAATGTCAAGAAGTTGCAAACTCATGAGCCTTCTACTTTGAAGCTCAAGGGCTTGTTGTAAATCAGCTTGCTCCTCTAACTTCCTCCTCCACAGCATGTCTTGAGTATTGTAGAACATTCTACCCCCTAAAAGATTAGAGCACAGCGCACACATGTTAAAGAAAGTTGCTGACAAGAACACAGTCATTTCAACTGAAAACACGAGGAGCGGTTAATGTTAATGCACCAACTTACCAACTTGGGGATCAAATGGGTCTCTAGCATCTAGTCCAGTAGGTGTACCACAAGGTGAAAAATCACCCCTATCTACTTGCAGCTGCTGCTTTCTGCAGAACATCAATAACACAGTTCAAATGTGAAATTATGGATAAATATGAACAGAGAGAGCAAAAGGCTATGAAGAGGAGGTACCTGTATTTGTCAGGTACTTTTCCCTTCTCCTTGTAAGGCTTAACAAGCACTCGAGCATCACAAACAAAATGAGGGTTTCCTTTGGATAAAATGAGCTTAACTGTCTCCGGATAAACAAAAGTGACAAATCCAAACATCCTCTTTTGCTGATATGGAATTCTCACATCTTGAACAGGCCCATAAATGCTGCACCAACAGTGTAGAAAACAAGTCAACTCCTTCCAAAACACTGAAACCAGCATACAAAGCATAATGCCAATTCAGCACCAAAGCTAAAGAAAATGAACCTGAAGTAGTTCGAAACATCTTCCTCTCTGAAAGTGCTATCTGCTGGAAAAGTCAAGTAAATCTGCCTCGAAGCCGGGTTAACCAATCCAGGACTGTTCAAAGAAAACTCATTTCTTTCGAGCCTGGATCTTCCAAATTTGTGCAAATCCTCATTCATCATCAAAGCTGCAGCTGCAGCTCTGCAACGTAACATACCATCCTGATTAGCACTCAGTAAAATCTGTAGGAAGTTGAAGCCTATTACCTAATTACCTAGAAATTCACAAAAGCAACACATCCATACCTCTGGGAATCACTTTGTTGCTGCAGCAGGAAATTCATGCACTTTGGTGAGAAGGGAAAAGAAGAAGAGGCCATGAGTTGAGAAGCCACAGCCTGTCTCTGTCGTTGCTGAACACTTTTGGATCTGAGCAGTTCATGGCACTGCTCCATCATTTCAATCTTACTGGGAGACCCCACCATTGCAGCACCCTCAGCATCCCCGAGTCCTCCATGAAGGAACCTGCAATTAGTCCCATTTTTGCAGTACCCTCTAGCAAAGTAAAGGCAAGGCTTCCATCCCAATCCTGAAATAGGGTCCTCAGACCCTAAACAAGCATCATTCACTGAGCAACTCCTGCGGTGAAGTGACCCTCCCCAACCATAAGAAGGAAAAAGAGAAGGATCACCACCAACGCCGTTAGAAGGACTAGAAGATAACTCAGACTGAGAATAGAACAAATCTGAGGAGCTCTTTGGCACGAGGGAAGGTGACCCTTCATTGAGAAAAGAGAGTTGGTCTTGAAGTTGGAACTCATCCACCGGATCAGACACTCCATTTCCATAGAAGGGTAAGGAAGGAGATGAAATGTTCATATTGGGGCTCATCAAAATATCATCAGGGTTTTGAAGTTCAGCTAGGGTACTGGTCCACGAAGCTGAACTAGTTGTAGGGTTTGGAATACTCAGAGAGGAAGGAAGGCTCATAGCACTGTTTATGAGCCTGGAAGTACAGGAACTTTGCCTTGAAATAGGGACAGGGTTGCCAGAAAGGAAAGGGGATGGAGATGAAGGTGTGAAGGGTGCAGAAGGAGAGTTCAAAGACAACCCCAACTCCTTGCGTGCTTTGAAAATCACTGAGTGAACTAAAGCTTCTGGACCAAAGGCCAATCTAATCATTTCTTTCTCACCATGGTCTTGGATCAGAAGCAGACCCATTATTTTAGAAGCATTTTCAGGGTCCAAGCTTTGGATCCTTGAAAACACAATCCTTGTTGCCTCATAACCATCCATGCTTGGAAACAAATACTCTCTTACTCCACTTTCTTAAAGAAAATTCAACTTTTGTTTCTCCAGTTGGGGAGTTTAGTGTGTGTAGCTTTCCCTGTCTCTATCTCACTCACTATCTTTCTGGCTCCTACTACAAGTAAAGTTTCCTTTCAACCTCACACAAACCCTACCTACCAAGCAGAGATGAGAAGAGCAAAGTGTTATGTTTCTTTCTCATATTCCTGCAAAGGTGAAGAAAAGCATGTTAAAGAAGAAAAAGGAGAAGGAAAAACAAGAAAGTGAAGTGTCGAAAGGAGTATTCTCGTGTGGTAGACTAAAAAGGAGAGAACCTGGAGCACCTTTTGGAGAAAAAAACATAAAAATTAAAAATATAAAACAGTGGTTAAATTTCTCTTTAAAGAAGTATTGAGTGCAAAAAAACTCGAAGAAACCAAAAGATTAGGAGAAGAAACAAACAACACAGATTATTTTTATAACAATTTTCTTCTCTAATAGTAGTACCATTTCTTTCTTAAAAAACCACCCATCTTTTTCCAACATAAACTTGAAAGTCAGTAGTGAGCAGAAGAGTTGAGGCTTACCAATCAAAGGATAACTTCCTTTCTCTTGGTGTTTCTTTTCACTTTTCACCCTAAACACAACACTGGTCAAACTTTACTACAAAAAAGCCAAACCACCGCCTTCTTTATAACCTGGTTGTTGCATATGCAAGCAGTTGCAGGAGCAGAAGAAACATCAATTACTTCACTGCTAGCACCTGCTATGTTTTTATGGGGCTCTGAGCACATCAAGTTTGAGACCTTTCCCCTTTTTTTTCTCTCTCTATCTATATCTGTCCCTGTCCACTATCTATATCACTCTCAACCCAAGATTTTCTTCTCTCACTAGTCCCTACACAAAGACACACAATTTCTCTTTCTCTATCTACCAACACACTATTCTACTACTATACAAATACCCCTTTACTTCCTGTGTCTTTCGGAGCATTAAAAACGAAGAGGGTAGCATCAGCAACAACAACAAGTGCGAGTGTTTGTGTGTTGGGGAATTGGTTTGGGCGGTTTGAGCGGATCCAGATCTGTGCTTCAAATACTGCACGTTCACATGCTCTAACCTCTGACACTGTCACTATTAATCATCAATTTTTTTTTTAGCATTTTCCCAAGCACATTTGCAAATACCACTGGTACTTATTTTCACAGTGCCTCGATCACAAATTGTTAGACACGCTCCAATTGAATCTTAGGAGATTTGGGTGTGTGGGACCACTTCACCGTATTGTGAACATCATTGATTGGAGAGTGAACAGCACGCACTTATGTTTTTGTCTTGATTAGATCATTATTTGTTTGTAGGAGAGTCAATGACACTCCAATCAAACACCACCGCTCTTTCCGTCCATTGCTCTTTTATTTATTATTTTTTAATTTTATTTAACGGGTTTAATTTATTCTTTTATTAATTATTAAAAAGTTAAATTATGTTTTTAATCTTTTATTTACTTTAAAATTTAATTTAATTTTATAATTTTAAAGGATTTAATTTAATTTTTAAATGTTTAAAATTTTGAATATTATTCTTCCGTTAAATTCACATAAATGATGTTAATAAAATTAAATTAAAAGATAACATTAAATATTTTTAAAAAATTAAATTATTAAATTAAATATTTTAAAAAGTATGATAAATTGAATAAAATTTATTTAACGTTTTTTGTTTACAAGAATTTGAATTTTCTTATATTTTTAACAAGAACATGAATGACAACAAATTAAGTACTTAAAATTAAAAAATACTCATGAAATAAAAAAGTTATTTAATAAAAAAATTATTAAATAGATAAAAATTTTAAATTTATGTAGACAAAAAAAATTTTAAATAATGTTTTGTTCAATTTAGTTATTTTATTTTTGAAATATTCAATTTGGTTTCATTATTTTTTAATGATTTAATTTTTTCTATAATTTTTAAAAGATGTTTGATGACTTCACTAATAATTTAGGTGAAAGGGCATCATTGAATTTTAAAAAAAAAAGTAAAAAAGTCAAATTAAATTATTTAAAAATAATAAAATTAATTGAATCTTAAAAATAAATAGAGATGTCAAAATTATAATTAAACTTAAAAACTTAATTTACTTTTAATTTTTATAAATTTTTTCATCCAATTAAAATTAGTAATATTAATTTTTTATATATATAACATAATTCAAAAAACATGTATTTAATAAATATATAAAAAATTATTAACATCGTTTGTGTTGTGGTAATTAGATGAAATATTATATTATTTCTAAAAATTAAACTAAAATCAAACATTTTATTAATAAAGGAACTAATCTAGAGCTGTCAAAACGGGCTACCCGGCCAGGCCCGGTCCGGCCCACCACGGGTTGGCCATTTGGTGGGCCAACCCAACCCGGCTCACTTATCAGTGAGCTAAAAAAAATTGAGCCCGACCCGGCCCACCACGGGTTGGTGGGTTAAACGGGTTGGCTCACCTTAAAAAAAAAATAATTTTTTTCATTTTTTTTCTTAATATACAACTAAAGCCCAAAAATTTAAACTTATTTTAAAAAACTTAGATTCTTAATTAAGACATCCTTAAATGAATTATTCATCCCAAACATTAAATGATAATTTTAAATACAATCAAATCAAATCTAAATAATCTCAAATAGATAAATATAATCCAAAATTATCTTAAACTTCAAATACAATCCAAAATCACAAAAATTGCATATTACAATCTAACATTAAATTATTATTGTCTCGTGTTGGACTGCACCATGACCCAATAATTATTGTATTTTTTCAACAAAAAAAAATTAATCACGGGTTGGTGGGCCAGCCCGGCTCACCACGGGTTCAACCCGGGTGAGCCGGGTTGTTGGTGAGCCGGGTTCAAATTTGACCCGTATTAAAATTTTCAAATTTTTTTTAACCCAACCCGGCTCGAATCCGTGGTGAGCCGGGTTGGCTCGCCGGGCCAAGCCCATTTTGACAGCTCTAAACTAATCAAATAAAAACATAACAAAATAGCAATTTAACTTAAATGTAATTCTTCTGACATGGAAAACTCACTAAAAAATATAAGTTGTTATCAAATATCGAAGTATTTAAAAGTATATAATCTCTTATTTTTGTCATAATCTCACATATTTCAATGTATTTTAGGCATGAATCTCTTATTTTTGTCATAATCATGTGCATTTCATTGTATCCTTGTTACTATTAATAGTCTTACAATTCTTGACATTTTATGGTCATAATCATATGAGTGTCGACATTTATGTTTAGGTCATTTTGTTTTAATGACATTTGGCTTTAATTTATGGTGCCTAGGTTGATCGACTAGAGATCCAAATGATACACAGTCCTTTAGGTTTAAGTGTCAAAGCCGCAAAGAGTCTAAGTACTCACTTTGCTCAATCAACAAAGTCACAGTGTCTAAGTCAGCCATGTCGATTGATTAAAGGCTTGAATAGTACAATAACAAATGTTTATTTTTGGTATTAATCATGGGAGCATTATAAAGCTACACTTATTCTTTATTCTCTTAATGCATAGCAAGAGATAATTGGTGTTAATTTAGAAAGAAACTCTTATTCTTTGACCTCTTGACGCTAAGTGTGAGACTATTTACACCAAGTGTCAAACCCTTAAATTAATGTTATGATTTTAAATGCATGTATGTTTATTACATATATTTATCCATAGGAATTAAGCAAAGTATTAATGTGACTCTTAAATTAATGTTATGATTTTAAATGCATCTATGTTTACTACATATATTTACCTGTAGGAATTAAGCAAAGTACTAATGTGGTTTACAAGACTCATGTTCCATACAAATTGAGCTAGACCACTAAATCTTTGAACTTTTTTAATCTCAAGGCTCACCAAGAACACATGGGGAAGGTGGAGGGAGTTGAATTGGTGTTTAAAAATCTTTAAGAGAATTAAACATGCACAACAGAATTTACTTGACCCCAGAGTAGTTCTTGTAAAGCCTTTTTCTGCTTTTTTTTGTGATTTTTGAAATTTTGCATTTTGTTTATGACGGACACTTTGACTTTTCCTTCTTTAACAGATTTTGAGAGTTTAAGATTTCTTTCTTGTTCGATCTATTATGGAATAAATTATTTAATGAAATTTATTGTTAGTCTCACCTAAAAGTATATGTTTAATGCATAATGAGACAAACTATATGTTTCGTCTAATTCTCTTCATCTTATAGACGATATATATTTTACACTTCGTCTAACATAGAATATTTTGCAAATAATTCATTTAGTTTAAGAGAAAATCTTTTGTTTGTTATCATTAAAACTTAAGGGATCCAAGAACGTCTTTTGACTTAACAATCTCCCCCTTTTTGATGGTGAAAAACATACTTTAAAAAATTCAATCTTGTTTTATTTTTGAAAGAGATTTTCTTTTGATAAGGCGAAATAAATTTTCATTTTTTTCAAAAAGGTTTCGATTACAAAGCTGAAAGTATTTTTAATAGCGAAATCATACTTTGATTTAAAAAAAAAAAAAAAAAGTTCTGTAAGACCGATGTAAATTATATACCTAAGATTTTGAAGAAAAATCGTATGAGAAAGTTTGATTGAAAATCAAGATTGTTCTTGTAACACATAATCAAGTGGATGACTGGACCGGTATAAATTTATGTGTTTTTTTCTTCTTTCCCTTATCTCTTTAATGATATTGTTATGAATTTGATTAAAGAATTCAAGGATTTATGAGATATGAGATATGTTGGTAATATAAAATCAATCTTGATTACAAGTGACTGATTTGCTGCATTAAACATTGAAATTCTGATATATTGGTATTGTATCTTGTAATCTGCTATAATTTGTTAAATCAAATTGATTAAAGGTTGAGTTTGAATATCTTGATATGCTATAATCAAGAAATTTCAAAAATAGAGTCATCTTAGGATAGAATCTATTCAACCCCCTTCTAGATTTTAGTAAACAGGGACCAACAGACTCCTCCTGAAAACATAGGTGATGAATCATAGTATGAAAATATCAAATCATTCAAGATAGAGTATAAAAGCTTGAAAAATTCTTGTCAAACATTCAAAACCATGTATCGAAGCAAAACACAATATTAGAGCTCCAAAAAATTCTAATTAAATAATCAGAATATCAAAGCTTAAACAATTCTCAGTAAACATTTAAAATAAAGTATCAAATAAATACTAACAAAAAAACTAATACCCTTATATATACTTTAATCAAAAAAGCATCATATAGGTTAGTTATTTAAAAAAATTAGCAAAAAAAAATCATGCATCATAACCCCTAGCTAAAATATGACAATGCTTAGGCAGAAAATCACATGTCATGCATTTCTCCTAGGTTAGTAAGTAATCAATTATTCATTTTCTTTAGATATGGAAGGCATAGATAGTAGCATGCATGAACTATTGAGGAAAGTGAATATTCTAAATTATGCAATGCCAAGAGTTAATAGCTTGAGTGTCCTAATGTCAAGAGAGGTCAAGGCGGATTTTGAGAAATATTATGGAAGAATTCTTGACCTATTGAAGGAATTTTAACCATTTTCGCAAGAATAATGTTCTTCGTCCAATGCACTTTTAGATACATGACGATTATGCAGAATTTGCTTAACACAAGGTCATTGCATATGAAGGATTTATCGTCTACTGAAGGAAAATGTTTCATATAACAATAATGATTAAAGTTCTTGCATTTTCCTTTACAAGATAGTTTCATTTAAAGAAAGATAGTAGATAAAATTTTTCAGTGTAATATGTTTGTTAAGCAAGATTCGCGTCTTCGTCTGATAAATGGTTTTAATGAAGAATAGACAGTAGACGAAGTTTTTCAACATGACTTGTCAATTAAGAGGAGTTTGCGTCTGAAATATAAATGGAACATTGCAATCATTTTTATATTGGTTTGCTCAACTAAGCTACGTCCAGTCTCCTTCAACTGAAGGGTTCCATTAGATATGAAATGAAGTACAATGAGTATTATAGACCACCCAACTCACGACCACTCCTGGTCACGAGTATTCTAGACCACCTAGGTCACGACCACTTCTGCTCACGAGAATTCTAGACCACCCAGGTCATGGCCACTCCT